CCTCCCACGAAGCGCTTGTTTAACGTCATTAGCTTGACGAAACCTGAAGAGAACTCAGCCGGAATCTAAGAAGAGGTGACGGTCGTGCCACACCTTCGTATTCTCGAGAAGTGGTAGCACTGGCACTAAGGCCAGAAGGCGGGCACAGTGGATCTGAGTGGCAATGTTCTGGGCAAAGCGAGTTCGTGCACGAGAAACCCCCAACTCTAAACGTAGAGCTTTTCCAACACAAGCTCTGTCATTAACCTCCGGAAGTACGAGCTCATCTGTGGAGCAAGTCGAACTAAATCCCACCCACTTCATAACACAGTGTAGCGGCCTCGGAGACGGGTGCTCAAACTCTGAGATTGGAGGAGGGACTTGAGAGTCAAGCCCGTGGATCTCCTCCTCTGAAATATCGTCGACGTCTCGCTGGGGATTATCATCCTCTTCTTCAGCCTCACACAGTTGCTTCAACGTACGGGCTCGAGTATCAAGCCTAAAGTGGGGGTCTTCGACTTCTGCCTCGATTGAGCTGGTATGTGCTGCAAGAATTTCCATTTGTGTGCTCAGTCGAGCACACCCTAGCTCAATCTCCACATCTCGAGTGGCCAAGGCAGATATGCGAGTAAGGATGAGGTCGAGCTTTTCATCGTATGTCAGAGCAACCCCCCGAGGTTCATTACTGTATGTAGGTCCGCCTTGAGCGGTGATCTCGGGGGAGAAATTGGTAGCTCGATCCTCTAAGGCTTGCACGCGCTCCACAAGTTCCTCAATTCGGGACTCAAGATTGCTCCTACGGGCCGCTTGGGATGCCAAAAGAGTGAGGACCTGGTCGAGCTTGGCATTGTACTCTAAGGAATCCTCGAAGGACTCGCATGGTTGCTCAACAGGCATTGAGTGCCATTGCTGCTCGTAAGGATATGACCAAGTCTGGCCATAGTCCCGAGGATCATAGTAAGGAGGTGACTGGTTCATGCGGGCACACCGAGTTGCGGTCTCTTCCTCCTGGGCTAACCGGGATACTGCGAAATCATAAATACAATTGAGCTTCTCGTTGAACTCGTGGGACTCATAATGTTGCTCGACTGGAAAGGGGTCCCAGTACTGCTCAGAAGGGTATGAATATGGCTGGTAGTGATGCCCGGCGTGATAGCTCGGCTCGTGAACCCAAGGTTGGGTGTGCGAATAGGGGAAAGTGTGGTTGTAGCTCATGATACCTGCACACCAAAGTAGAACAACCGAAACGTAGCCACGACGAGAAAAAGAAAAAGAAAACAGAAACAAGCAAGGTAAAAAGAATAACTAATATGCACAAAAAGAGAACAAAAATACGAAAATCACAAAAATAAGAGAAACACAGAAAATAAAATCAATATCAAAACCAAATATCCTACTTGCCTTCCCCGGCAACGGCGCCAAATTTGTTGTGTACAAATTATTCTTTTTACCGAGTACCGAATCGAAAGATTCGTTCCCCGGGTCGATCTCACGAGGAAGGCGGTTCGGAATTTAGTTCTGATATTGATAACACATAAAAGCAAAATAAATCCTAAACATACTAATCAAATAAGAGAGTGAATAATTATCAACTAAGAAATGAATAACAATGCAAAATGTAAATCTACCTAAGAATATGAATGGAACGAAGATGGAGAAGCTAGGGAATCGGGGATAATTAATTCAAGTTCTAGCAAAGTTGGGCAATTCATTGTTCGGTTCGAGATTGACGCTCTCGCTTAAACGTCTAGCGGTTCGCTCCCAGTAACTCTTCGTAACAAGGGATTGAACATAGACGAACAAGCTCAAGCATACAAAACAGGCCAATGATCCCTGTCCCAATAACTATTCGTAACAAGGGACGAGTCATCGACAAGCTCGTATTTCAATCTAAAACACATAGATTATTCAATTATGAAATCATCTACCTCATGCGAGCCTATTTCTACGACTTCTCCCCTTTCGGTTCTGAAAGCCGCTAAATCAATTAGAAGGTGTTTAATCAACTAATCATATAGAATTGACAAACCCTAACTCGACAAACTAACATCCAACTGTCACCAATAGCAAGATCGAAATGTCACTTTTCGATTATATCAATCTATCGAAAACAAATTCATCAATTCCTTATCAAAACAAAGCACATAAGAATGAACAAATCAAGCCCGACAATTACACAATGAACAAGAACAATAATCCCTTATCCCTAGCACAAAAGATCAGCTACGTAGAACGAATCCAAAATACATAATCATTCTTCTCAAATCAACCATTATTCATGAGTTAAATAAGAGAAAGAAATACTTACAATTAATTCAAGTTCGAACGTTGAATTCGTAATACAAGCTTAATCCGAAGAAAATAACTAGAAGAAGAAGAAGGAAAACAAAAATGAAGAAAAAGATTATAAGAAGGAACGAAAAGAAAGAATGAGGGAGATGGAGAGATTTTTGTGTTCTTTTCTCCTGGGAGTGCTTTACCTTTTTCTCATTCTTCTCCTCTTCGGATTAGACCTTATCGGACTCCAATTCCTCAAGTTCGTAATTCAGCTCTCGGAGCTTGACTCTATTACCTATAGGTAAAGACTGACAGCGGGAGATGGAGAGATTTTTGTGTTCTTTTCTCCTAGGGTTCGTCCCCAGAAGGGGAGAATAATTTTCTGAAGTTCCGTCACGATTATTTATACTAACTAGGTGCACGGTCATGAGGCGCACAGGCACCGCGGCGCGAGGGCCTGCCGCGGCGTGGAGGATGCATGCACCGCGGCGTGATGGTTGGGCGCGGCGTGAGGGACGTCTGCTGGGCTCGGTCTGCGCTTGGAGAACGTCAGGTGCCGCGGCGCGAGGTGCTGCCGCGGCGTGGAGATCGCGAGTGCCGCGCCGTGAAGGGCTGGCGCGGCGTGCTGGGAGTGTCTGCCGCGGCGTAGGGACTCTGTCACGGCGCGGAGGAAGGTCTGGCCCTTCTGTCGAAGTCGTGGCGATCGTCACGGCGCGGCGCAGGCGTGACGGCTGGGAGCTTGGGCTTGGCCGCATCATAATGCCCTTTTTTATGTTCGTTCAAGCTCGTTCGGAAGTCGAATATATTTCCGTTTTCTCCTGTGAACTCCTAACGAATTGCTCTCTTTAACTATGTCCGCCCGGTCCATTTGTCATGAACAACAAATCCACTCGAGACCTATAGCCTGCACACCAAAAACAGAGAAAAACCGGAAAAATATATGGAAAACACAAAGAAGACCGAAATAGAGCGAAATACACAATAAACACTGAAACGAACTAAAAATCGACGAAAAGACACAAAATGGGGGAAAAAGAAAGAAAAAATAACAAGGAAAAACACAACAAAAATGGGACAAACATAGTGACTCCTGGCTATGGAAGAGCTGGCTTCTAGCTAGAGAGTCTCTTAGGTTGGGTATGAAATTTCAAGTGGGGATGGGCAGTCTATTAATATTTGGGATTCACCTTGGCTTGCTAAGTCTTTTAATTTATGTTCAACCCCTGTTTTCCTAGGGATAGAGAGAAGTTGAGGAAGGTTAATGAGTTATTTGATCAGAGTGGGTGTGAGTGGGATGAGGATTTGATATTACAAACTTTCTGTCCTAATGATGCTGAGCAGATTTTGAAAATCCCTTTAGGCATCACATGCCTAAGGATAAGCTTATATGGAACTGGCATCCTAAAGGACAATTTGTGGTCAAGGAGGTGTACAAAATCCTGCAGCAACACCAACAACAGCAACACCAACAACAGACACAAATCCTTGCAAGTTCCAGCTCAAGGGATCATAAGTTGCAGGTGATGTGGAGGAAAACTTGGAAGCTGCCCATCAAAAACAAGATCAAAAATTTCATCTGGAGGTGCTGATATGGTTTTCTACCAACTAGTACTCAATTGATAAGAAAAAAATGGTGGTTGACCACATTTGTTGCATGTGTGGAGAGGGTACTGAGGATCTTGAACATATTATGTTCAAATGTCCAAGAGCTGTGCTATGTTGGAAATTACTGGGGGTGGAGTGGACTCTTATGGAGAAGCAAGAGATGAAGTTTGCTGACTGGTGGGAAATCTGCACTGGGAAGGGAGGAGAAGTTATACAGGATAGAATTAACTTCTCAACCTACCTATTATGGTGGTTGTGGAGGACAAGAAACTCTTGGGTGTTTTCAAAAAAACTGGTGGCAGAAAAGGGTCTAGTAGATGGAGCAAGAAGATAATGGCTTAAGTATGAATTTGGGTCTGGAAAAGCATCAAGAGGTGGTACACATCAAAGGTCACCTAATGAGGGGAATCCAGTTGAAACAGGAGTAGGACAAATATCTTTATTTGTCAGCGCTTGTAAGTTTCCAGATGGGCATTGGGGTCTTGGAGGTGTGATGGAGACTGAGGATAATCAAACTCAGACATGGAGGATGAAGGAGCAAGTGGCCAGCTGTATGATAGAAGCAAACCTTGTTGCTGTCAGATGGGTTCCACAGAAGATAATAGCACCAATGGGATCAATTGTATGCAATGTAGACTCAAATGATGTTGCAGAGGTTCTCAAGGGGCAAAAGATAGCTGATTCAGCAGTTCAGGCCATTGTGGATGATATTCTCAATCTTGTGCTTGACTTTCATTCTTGTAAGCTTATTTGTAATTCTGTAGCTTGTTCTAAGTCTTTGGTGTGTGCCTTCGAGGCTTTGTATAAGGACTAATTGCTAGTTCTTCATTGCTTGTAGTATCTCTTTGTAGAGGTTGCTAGTTTGCTTGTATCCAGTGGGATAATCCTTGTAAGACATTATGCTTTGAGTTTATGCTATTTGCTTGTTTGTTGTTTGAAAAAAAAAAAAAAAAAAATACAAAAATGGCTAAAATGAATTCATGTTATGTATATATGTAATAACAATTCACCATGCCAGTTTTAACATATGATTTTCCCTCTATTTTTCACACACTAAATTCAAAATTTTACCAAAGATTTTTTCCTGCTATGAATTGTTTGTCAAATGTGATTTACATACACCCCTTTCTAGGAGCTACTCAACAGTCGACACTTGATAAAACTCGGGACAAGTTCTTCACTGGCATTGCAATCTGTACATAAACTCAAGATCATTGAACATGTAAAAAAAAAAAAATACTCCTGCAAATGTGTACAGAGAAATTCAAGGCACCGGATTTACTTTCGACTCGAGATGTCGATATTTATGCCACTTTTCGTATCTCTGGTGCCCTTGTAGCACGGGTCTAAGCCAAGCTGCAGATGTGCACTTAATGCAGCAGCACCCTCTCAAACCATCCACACATTTCAAGCAACACCTGTAATCGGATTCACATGCAACGTTAAAGATTTGCGCATTCACAGTGTATAATTTATTTGGTCTTCGAATAATTACTCATTGACAAGAATCTTTAGGTCACAATCAGAGCTTTTTCTGGAATAAAAAGCGTATCGACAAATATATGGGATAAACCATAATTAGATTCTTGATTGTGAGAGCAAATGCTTACAGAAAGAGCAAGTTGCAATCCAGATTGGCGCAATTTCGGTGCCTCAACTCAGATACTTGAGACTCACATATGTAGCATTTAGCAAATGGCTGAATCACATCTGCCTTTTTTCCACTTGCCTCAGCACTGATTTCAGAATTGTAGGTTGATGGTGGTAGAGAAAGGCGCGAATCAAACACAAACAGATTGCCAATCCATCCAGCACAACCTTCATTCGCGAGGTAATGAGAGGCACCTCCCTTTAAAGTATACAGTCTTTTAAAACCCTGCTGCCTGTAAACGACGACAAGTTTAAAAGTGCAACAAAACAACCCCTTGCTTAACTTAACTATCCGCAGCATCAAGTCCCAAAAGTAAATATACCTCTTTAGTTTTGAGGTTTTTGTTTGCATCATATTTTTCCCTATTTTGCGAGTGTTACATGTGAACAAGGCATACGTGAAAGAAAAAAAAAATGCTGGAAAAAGATTGCTAACTCGACTGGTCCTGGTGATTATATATTCATAATAGACTCCGAAAAATCTAACTTTCGACCATAGTGAGGTATATTCAGACCAGATCCTACATATGTCCATAAAATCCACTGCATTTATCCCCAACATCAAAGATAACTTGAGTAAGAAAATTAGTACAACAACATTTCAGATATTTTTCCAACAAGTTCCCAACACTAGATAGAAAGGCGCTGGTGTTACTGATAGGTGATAGCTACTACAAAGTCGTGAAATGAGATACACTTGTGACTACAAGCACTACAGCTATCAATGTGAATAGCCTAAAAAAACATTGGTAATTAAGGAGGAAATGGAAAATATAAATATCAAGCTGGACCAGTTAAGTACAATGTTTATAACCAAGCAAACAATCTATTCACAAATATACAAAAACAAATCAGAAATGTATATAAAACTTAATTGATGAAATCATGAAATTGACCTATGCATTGTTGAGTATACATCACAGCGAATTCCTCCTGTACAGTACATCAATATATCTGTGTTCTCTTTATCAACTGCCCCCAAAGGATCTGAAGCTGCAACCTGGTCATAGACCAGTCCACATTACATTCAGTACGTCAAATAGAAACTATTGACCACTGACCATATGCATGGTAATAAATTCATTTAAATACAAGACCGAAGACGTTGAAATAACCTTTATAATGGTGTTATAAAGGTATATGTTCACATGGGTATTATCGAAGGGAAAAGCGGAGATATTTAGAAGAGGATATGAAGTATGTTAAAAAGACGGTCTTGCCTCTGGCTCAGATAGTCCAAAGGAAGTGCTCCGGAAGCAATCAACATTAGGACGTTGAGCCCCCTGGAAATGACCAACATCCCATTCATAACCTAATTGCATAAGGGCTCGTTTACTTCGCTTGACAGGACAAAATAAGTAAAAATATCCCTTTGTATCTAATGTTTACATTAAAGGATTGGGACAATATTTAAGTGATGTGGCGCACATGTGGCTGCGCCATCTCACACACATATCAACCAATTCCCGATTATTTCTATCCCAGGGTGACCCCGGGATATTTTTATCCCAACTTCTGGTTGACCGTTTTACCCTCAAAATTACTTGTGAAAAGACTTGAATACCCTTCAACATCCATTTAATTACAACAACCATTAAATTAAAACCTCACTTTTCCTAAATCTGTGTTGAGTTTGAAATTGAAGATTGGGGTCCGTAGGCAAGGTAGAGCTCTTTTCTTCTTCTTCTTCTTTTTTTTTTTTTTCTTTCTTTCTT